CCAAGCCTTCGGCCTTCTGCACTCCAGCTGGGCTGTGTCTGCCGCTGGGTATCTGTCCGGTACAAGTCCTTGCTCTGGCCACACCCATCTGCTGGGACCACTTGGGGCAATACTGCCACCTTGGCAGCTCAGCCCACACCTGGCCTGGTTGCTGGGCTTTTGGTCCTGGCCCTTCTGCCCTCTGTGCCTTGGTTCCCCAGGGTGCACACTCACCTGGCCTAGGCTGGGGTCTGCTGGCTTGGGGGTGAGAGTGGGCCCAGGGCTGGGAGGGGCCCAGGCAGGCTGCCGTGCCTTCCTCTGCACAGGCTCCCCAAAGAGACACCACTTCCAGCGGCAGCGGGCAGCCAGCGAGAGCATGGAACAGGAGGAGGGGGATGCCCCCCAGGTGGACTTCATCCAGTACATCGCCAGCGCTGGCGACGCAGTGGCCTTCCCGCAGCCCTGCCCCTTTCTGGCCAGCCCCACCAGCCCGCCCCCCCCTCTCGGCAGGTATTTTTCAGTAGATAGAGGTGCCAGGGGTGGACTTGTGGGCCCCTGCCCCACCCCTTCGGACAGGCGGTCGTGTCCCTCTGGCTCCACCGTCCCTCCCGGAGGCTGCCTGGCTGGGGCCACCTCTCCAGCACCGACCAGAGGGAAGCAGGGGGAGACTGGGTAAGGGTAGAGGGGTGGGCAGGGCCCCGGGTTACCAAGACAGGATGCCTGCTCAATCAGGGACGCTGTGGGTGGATGTCTGCACAGGTATTGCCACTTCCTGCTGGTGCCCACGGCCTGAAGGGCCCTGCCCGCCTGCCCATGCTCCTGAGGACTAGATGGCCCCTACTCAGAAACTTGTGACCACTTCTGCCAGCAATGCTCCCTCCCCCTGCCCAAGGGCAACTGTCCTGAAGCTCTGGGCCCATGGCAGTGGGATAGGCAACAGGATCCAGGGAGCAGGGCACTTCCCTGTCCCAGGAGTTAACACTTTTTGTTTATTCTCCTGGTTCCTTAACAAATCTACCTTGGGAGGTGAGGCTTCATACCCAGACTCACCCAGGGGGAGGGGCTGAGCTGGACTCCACTCCTCCCATCCATCCCCAGCCGCCCCTTGGTACAGTAAGTTGTTAGGAAGAAGGCATCTCCCAAGGCGAGGCTTAAGCTCTTTCTGGTCAAGGGGCCAACCACCAGCAGTGCCAGCAGATGCCTGGGTCAGATATTCCAAGAGAAGCCCCCATTCAGCAGGTGCCAGGAAGGCTCCGGGTTTACCCAAAAGGCAGTCCCTGAAAAGTAGACAGGCAGGCAGCATTTAAAAAGTTCATCTTCCACAGGGCCTGGCCAAGCCTGTAGGGTTCCTACCCGTGCCCATCCTCTCAGACCCAGAGGCAGGGTGGCCGGGGAGGGGTCGCGGGGGCCTTCACAGCCTTCTGACAGCTGCTTCCTGGTTTGCAGGCTAGAAGCAGCCGACGAGGTGGGCGCTGCGGGAGGATCAAGCCCTGATTCCCCCCCAGAGCGCAGCGGCAGCGCGGGGCCTGAGCAGGAGCAGCAGCATCAAGAGTCAGACAGCGAGCGGGACGCAGGGCCAGAGCAGGCCCAGACCATCTACCGTGACATCTGGAGCCTGCGCGCCTCGCTCGAGCTGCATGCTGCCAACGCCTCGGACCACAGCAGCAGCGGCAACGACCGCGACTCGGTGCGCAGCGGTGACAGCTCGGGTTCAGGCTCTGGAGGCACTGCACCCGCCTTCCCGCCGCCCTCGCCGCCGCCCACACCGAGGACAGCCGAC